GGGGTATAGATTGTGCTAAGGGCTGTAAGAGCCCCCAATAAAATGATTTTTAAAATAATAAAATAAAACCCTCACAACAGTAGTGGGAGTAGCAATATCATAAGGGTAGGGGGATGGAGAGGGTGTAACCAAACAAATAAATAAATGTAGGCAATGAAAATCCTATGGATCAGAGGAGAATATTGCTTGACATAATGCTGGGAGATAAGCCCCCAACTCAACCTACCAGTGATCTTGAAAACGGTGCAGAACCAGGAAGCATTTTATCCTGTCACGCATGTGGTCACCATGAGTTGGAAAGAACTTGACAGCAGCAAACAGCACCAGAAATATTATCTCAACTTCAATATAACAGAAAAAGCACAACTAGACAAAGTTATAGAGACACGATTTCTTCTAAAACAAATAATGTCATAAAGCACTCATTTCTTATTTTGCCGGGTATTTAAAAAATTAATATAGATAAAAAATACAACACAGCACAAAAAGCATCACAAATAGGCTTTTGTTCGGTTTTCATGGATTCAACTGACACTTGTCACTCACTGTGACAAGTGAGTGTAGAACAGAGCAGGGTAGAACTGCTGTATGGGTTTCTGAGATTGTGGTTAGAAAGCCTAGTCTTTCGCCAACAAATAGGACCTAGATGGTTATCACAGAATTCCACACAGATATAGATATAGCTCTGATTAAGCGTAAGTGCTTCATATAAGCAGATATAAAAGATGGCAATGGGCAATACAATGGGGGACTAGGCCACTCACGGAAGGTGGAGGAAGCAATGCTTGTGACCTGAAGGACGTGCAGCTACATTGAAGCAAGCAAGTAAGCAAACGGGCAAAGAGCCTGCAGGGAGAGGAACTACGTGTGTTCAGACTGCAGCCGGGAAAGAGCTTTCAGCCTGTGGGCTGAAAGCAGAAAGTGAAGTGGTGGGTGGTGCGGGACGTGCTTAGTTAGAGGGGTGGGCAGGAGATTAACCAGAGGAGGCCTTACAGGCAAAGCTATGGATTTGGGCTTTTACTCTCAAAGAAATGGGAAATCATTCAAAGATTTTAAGTACAAGAAGGTGGTTTCTTTAGTTGATAGGGTTTAGGTTTTATAATCATTATGTGGCATATATACACACAGAGAGAGAGAGAGAGAGAGAGAGAGAGAGAGAGAGATTGGAGTATTTCAAGAGTAAAGTCAAGCCCAGGAGGTAGATAAATAGCTATGGTAATAATCTAGTTATGAGAGGATAGAAGTTTATACGCATGTGCTGGTGGTGGAGAAGATAAGCTGCCAACCAAATCAAGAGATAGTAAAAGAAGAGAAGGTAAAATGGCGTGGACTTGGGGGTAGAGTGGGTACTAGGGTGGAGTCAGAGACCATGCATGTGTCTGTCACCTCGTATGAGAGAAAGAATGGGGCAACCTTGGAGAAATAAGAACATGACTTTGATTCAGGACACAGAAATGACTTAGCGAACCCGGTCTGAGATGGGTATCGTTTGATAGGCCAGCTTGCAAGGTTGGCTTGAGATTGGTAAATGGGAATTTGAGATTTCAGGAAGACGCTTAACATTCCCTGATTACAGTGGCTCACTGTACCTAGACTTTCTCAATTCACGTGACTCACTCTGAGTACAAGCCTTCTTACTGGTCCGCTGGGATTGGGATTTGAGCTAGACACAAAGAGCCGAATCCGAACCCTGGGCATGCAGATCAATGATCCTCCACATAGACATGTCACACTTGCCACGATTCATTTCAGGAATAATTAAGCAATTTCTGTGTGACTCACTAACTCAGGGAGAGACCTTGGAAGATTCTGCCTGTCTTCACCCAATAGCCTTTATTTTTGCTGACTCCTTTGTGCCCTTCACTGTAACGAATCAAAGTGGTGAGTATGACTACAGGCCCAGTCCTAAGAGACCTCCTAGTTCAGCCCTGCACCCCGAAGAGGGTCTCTGGGATGCTCAACACTGACACATGTTGAGTTTGAAGCAGTAATGTAACACAATGGTGGTTGAGATGGTTAGTTTATTGCGCCAGCCTGGCTGGTAAACACAAGTGGGATTCAATGAAGGGCGGAGAGATAAATGGCTTGGTGAGCCTCGCCTTTCTTTACTCTCGCTCTTTGATCATCGGACGTGTGTGGCTGCCTTGCTTGTTCTGTGCCTCAATTTACAGGGTGCACTACCTGTGGGATGCCTAGCCTGTGGACTGTGTCGCTGTAAGTTCAGGTCCCTTTAAGACCACATGATTGAAATTTACATCTCTGGAGCTGAGGACTGACAGTTGGTGACCTGCCTTGCTGTTTTGCTGCCTGTGCTGGGATAGCCTAGCTCTCTCTCTACAGAGGACTACCGGGCAGCCCTCAAGACTTGAAGGACTGCCAGTGTCTCACAACTCTCTCACAGATGTAAGTTGCACTGAGCCATTTGTACTGCTTTATCATTTAACTGTTTATTTCTTGTATTATATATCTAACTGTTTATAATTTAACAGCTTATTTCTTGTGTTATATCTATCTGTTTATAATTTAACAGCTTATTTCTTGTGTTATATCTATCTGTTTATAATTTAACAGCTCATTTCTTGTGTTATATATATATATAGTTATCAGCAATCTGGTTTTATCTCTCTAGAGGACCCTGTCTAACACAGTGGTCTACAGCAGTCTGGAGTTCTAGAGTGAGATCTGAGCTGGAGATCAAGATAGTGGTTGCCTTGTGAGGGTGTTTGAAATTACGTGCTCTCTCCCTGGACTTAATTCCAGTATAACATGCAATGTAGAACTGGAAGATGTTCAAATGGGAACAAATTTAGAAAAGTACTTACTCCATACTCCTTGTTTTTATTATTTTAAGAAAAGCAAAGGTTAAGCAGGTCAAGTACCTTTCAGCAAGTCCCTGAGTCATAGCTGATCAGTACCATAGCGTCATCTAGGCCTCATTGTGATATCCCTCACAACAGAACAAGACCACTCAACCCTGCTCCATCAGCAAGACTGTTGCTATGCAGAGCTCACTGCGGCAGCCACTGTGTCAATCCATGTCCTGTTGAAAGTCTTCCTCTTTATCACTGCACTCTGCTTTAACAAGCATCTTGACCCTTTTCCAGACACCATTCTCTCCTGCTAACATGGTCAAAGTATGTGAGGCGAAGTCTCGCCACCTTGCTTTTAAGGAGCATTCTGGCTGGACTCCATGCCTCAACTCCCAGTAGCGCCAACCAGTGCCCATCATCTGCTGTCCTGGCTGGAGGCAGTCCTTTTTCACCCGGCCTCCTGCTTGCATCAGTATCTGCCACATGGTCGCAGATTTCCACCATGCTGCATTTTCAATTAAAACAGCTCAATGGTGCTTTAGAAGAATGATTTCCAAGCTGCCAGGGCAATAATGCCACCAACCCCACCACAGTTTGTGAGAGCCAAACGACAGTATAAATCATGAGGAAAATGTGCTCCAACAACAGAAACAGCAGAGCCTCGTGGAGACTGAACATCATCCAGTTGGCCGAGAAAAGAGCCATGCAGCTTAAAATCATTTTTCACAATTACTATTCTAGTTAGTTCATAGTTCTTGGCAGATATGGCCCACATACATAGCCGGACTGATCTGATTTTCACTCTTTTGATCAGCAAATACGATCCCACCCCTACCCCCCTCACCTTCCCAGAAAAACCACCCAGAGAGCTTTCGGAAAATCTTAGTCCATGCATCAAAAAGGATGTCCAATTGTTGCGGTCTGCCTTTGAACATGTTATTGAATAGGCCACCCATCATTTATCATAAGACCTCGCCTGTGCTGAGGAGGAGGATGGGAGGATGATGAACCACACATAACTAGTAGAATCTGAGAGCTACAGAGAAAGACTTTAAACAAGGATTGTCAATAAAAGCACATTTTGGGGGAAAGTTGCAAGGTAATAGGATATTTACAAACTCAACTTTTTAATTTACCAGAAGCTTCTTCAAACATTATATAAAGAAAAATGTTAAAAAGAAACTAGTAAACACTATACAATACTACAAGAATTCCCTAGGGCAATAAAATATTTACATAAAAAAGGAATTAACAATCATTTTCCATATGTACATATTTTTGCCAAGTTTAATTTCCAAATTATGTTCTCAGAGCAGCCCAAGAGCCAAGTATTCCACGGGGGAATGTGTGTTGTACTGTGATGTGACAATAAAAACATAATATACCTACTATAATTTAATACTTCATCCTACAATGAGATGCCTTCCTGCTTTTACGTAAGAACTCCCACAATATGTATCAAGGACTGAATCGGTAATCATTCTAGAGGGACGGCAGGATGGTCGCAGGATGAGGAGCATAGAAGATAGCAAACCACCCCCTGCCCTGAGTCGATTCCAACTCACAGCAACTCTGTAAGACAAAGTAAAATCACCCAGTAGGTTTCTGAAGCCATGGATCTTTACGGGAGTAGAAAGTCTCATCTTTCTCCTACAGAATGGCTAGTGTTTTTGAACTGCCAACCTTGAGGTTAGCAGTCCCACACTTATCCCACAGTACAACCAGAGCTTCTCGGGGAATATACATGGTGAAATAATGTTCTATTTCTTAGCTTGGGGGTGGGTAGATGGACATTGGGGTATCCTTTAAATATTTTATCTCTTAAAAAATATTTTATAATAATCCTGGAAATGTATAAGCTGAACTCTGCACAATCAGCATTCCCAGGCCCTTGCTTGAAGAGATGGGTCTTACGTCATCTTGCTGTCCCTGGAGTCCCACTGATTGATTTATATACATGTTATAAAAATGACCTGTTATACCAGCTGGGTGAATAAAACCATTTGTGTTAGACCAAATTGTCAAAGACTTGGTCAAATCCTGGAGATCTTCCCTATCAGATATTCTCTGTCTCTGAAACATCTTGCCAAGAATATATATGCCATAATTATTTCTAATCAGTGAAGATGCCTTCCAACTGCCTAATGTGACATTTTTTTTCAGTAAGAAACAGATTGAGATAGCTAAGGTTTATTGTGCCAACCTGGCTGATAAACACATGTGGGGTTAATTGAACGGCAGAGAGATAAATGGCTCCGTGAGCCTTGCCTTTTGAGTTCTCAGGTTTCTTGCTTTCTGATGGTCAGACCAGGGTGCAGCTGCCTTAGCCAGTTCCCTGCTTCAGCTGGCAAGGCTCACTTCCTGTAAGACATCCCTGAGGAGAAGCCACATGGACCTACCCCGATGCAGCCCTGGGTGCTGGTGCAGCCCTGTGGAGACCCCTGCCAGCACAGAGATGCTTACACGCTCACTGATTCGTCTTTCCCCTTGCAGGCGACGTCACTGCGTGTGTTCAGTGAGATTGAGGAGGACTTTGTGAATTGGCATTGAACATAAGGGTTAATGTTGGACTTGTGGGCTTGGACAACACTGGGTTGGGATGATTCATACATATGAGTTTCTGTGGATTTGTTTCCCTAGTTTACCCAGACTAACACACAGATCAAGGGAAACAATTTAAATTGGCTCTGGAAACTCAAACCAAGCTACCATCCCGTCGATGATGATTCACAGCTACCCTACAGGACAGAGGAGAACTTCCCCTGTTGCTTTCCAAGCTCGTACCTCCTTCCGAGAGTAGAAAGTCTGCAAAGTGCCTGGTAGTTTCAAACTGCTGACCTTGTGGTTAGTAACCCAATTGTATATTTCACTTCGCCACCAGGACTCTTCTTTAAATTGACAATGGGCGCTTCAAACATCCCTTACATTTAAAGTCCCTTCTTGTTCCAACACAGAACCATAGAGGCAGGTGGTGCTCATCCATCCTTGTTTAAAGTGTGGCAGAGCAATGAGCGTGCTCAAAGTGATTCTTGGACTCTCGGGCTCAGCATCAGCTAGGAAATTTCTAGAATACAAATTCCTAGACTTTGCTGTGATCTATGGCCTCAGACATGTTGGTGGGAGAAGGTCAGTGGGCAGTAACTTCTACTTTAAGAAGTCCTCCAAAGGACGTCCCCGTACCTTGAGAACCACAGATGCCAGAGCTAACACAGTGCAAGCTTCAGAGGTCAAAAGGACCAGGCTTGAATATCAAGGGCCTCACCCGCTCTGTGCGTGTGCCCTTAGACAAGGGAAGGAGCTTTTCTAGGCTTTAATTTCCTCATTTATAAAATGAAAATAACGATAGCCCTTCACTCACCAGAATACAAGCAAGCTTACATAAACAAGATAGTAAAAGTTTGGCAAAATGCCTGGCACATAATAAGCATCAATAAATGTGAACAATGATTTTCTCTACTACATTTTTATTCCCATTTGCACAGCCATTTATTCCATTGGTGTTTACTGAGCATTGACCATGTATCAGAGCCAGGCCCTTTAATGGCCCTCTTTCCTGGCTGTGTTTTAGATCACCCAGGCAGCTGACTGACACATTGCTTGCTGCCTGAAGCCCAGTCCACATCAAGAATCTCTGATCATGGGGCATAGGCTTTGTTTTCAAAATGACTTAAGAACTTCTATAAGAAGAAGCATGGTGTAGTGGGCTCTGGGGTGGGCTAACCAAAGGTCAGTAGTTTACAACCATCAGCCACACTCCACAGGAGAAATGAAGCTTTCTACTCCCTTAAAGAATTACAGTTTGGTACAGATAGGAACTGGAAACACAGGGAATCCAGGACAGATGATTCCTTCAGGACCAGTGGTGAGAGTGGTGATACCGGGAGGGT